AGACGCCTCCGCCTCTGCTGCCCCCGCCCCTGGGCCTGAGCCAGCGGGATCTGGCGCATGAGCGCCTGCAGGCAGCCGCCGCCGCACTCACCCATTCCTCCCGCAGCAGGCAAAGAAGTTTCTAGCGTGCAGTTGTGGAGAAACCCCCCTTTCGGCGCTTTCCCGCAGGATTAAGCCGGGGGCAGCGCTGCCTGCCCGGCTCCGCGGGCAGCTGAGCCAGTACCTCAGCTGCTAAGTTAAACTTCGGTATGGACGGTGGCTGCTATAAAGAAAGAAACCTACAGCGGGACGAAGCGATGAGCAATAGCAGAAGGCAGCCCTGCAGCAGTTAGTCACTAGGGAGGAGGCCCTAAATGGAGAGGAGAAGGAAGAGGTAGCAGATGCAAATTTGCTACTCTCAGCTTTCTGGCTGCTGCAGAGACCATAACCCAGGGCTTTCAAACTCAATTTATCTTAGGGCCAGTCCTCATATCCTCCTAGTGGGCACTTCAGTCTGGCAGAGCTGCAGGGGGAGAGGTCGTCACATGTTCTCCCCCTGCCTCGCCTGCTGCCCTGCACACTTCTTCCCCCTCCTATGAATCCCCTAGCTCTGACTGTCCCCTTGCTGATTTAAGCCCCATCCCCAGGTGCCACCACAGGTAAGGCAGCGGGACTAGAATGGCTTCCAGCTGTTAGCTCTGGGCCACTGCAGGTATGTCTCTGCGGCCTTGGGGAGGTATGTGCAAAGGTGTGTCCATAGGATGGTTTGGCATGGCTGCCATGGGCCCCATGCTTTTGGGGAGCCCTGCAGAAGCTGCCCCAACTGTCCTAGAGATGGAACCTTACCATCCATACTCAGGTTAGCTTGTGGGGACTTGGGCAGGCTGCTCCTACATTCACCACAGCAATAGGACCTGTGGGGAGTGGAACTGAGCAGCAACCTGTTTTGGTCTACCCCCATCTCCCAGGCCAGCCCCGTATTGGGGCACTCCACTTTCTGCTGCTAAGGTGAAGCAGAGTGACAGGGCTGACCTGGGAGATGGCAGTGGAGCAGAGCAGTTTCTGCATTGCTTCGCTTTCTTAAAGTTCCTGTCACTGCAGTGAGTGCAGGGGACCCCATCTTCCTCCCTGCATTAGACCCTCTGGTAATCCCCAAGGCCACATAGCTCAGGGGAAGAGACTTGAGGTAAGGGGTGCAATGGAGGGGAGAGGGCAGAGCAGGGACTGGACGTGCGGGAAGGACCACCATCTAAGGGCCGCAGAGAATCACATGCCAGCAGCTGTGCATGGGCCAGATTGTGGAACTGCTCAGGTGCAGATGGCTCCCAGTGCTGTGAGTTTGAGACCCTCGTCCTAATCAGCAAGTTTGGTTAGGAGAATAGAATTCCTGCAGCCTTAGACAGTACTTTATAGGGGCTTGTCCTGCCCCTGGATTCCTCTTTCAGCCCCCAAATGCTCTCCCTGTGCCTCAACTCTCACACTCCCTCCCAAAGCCTGTACCCCCAGATTTCCTGCACCCCAAATCCCTCCAGCGCCTCACCCTTCCTGTACCCAAACTCCATCCCAGAGCCTGTATCTCCTGTGCCGACCCAGAGCCTGCACATAGCACCCAAATTCCCTCTCAGAGCCTTAAAC